AAAGCCAAGGCAGGAAAGGGGAGAAATGGGAAGCCTGTTTGTATATGGCTATTCATTACCAAAATGCAGCTAAATATGAAAAGACTTCGCACAAAGCAACCCATTGTTACAAATCAATGCATTATGCAAGCTGAATGAAAATCAAGTTCTGTTTTGCTGGGGATTAATCGGGCTGGCATTATTGTGAAATGTTTCTTCCTTGCTTTCTTATTTAGTGGCAACACATCTGCCAATGACAATGGGTTCGGCTTTCATTATAGTTTTTCATGTTCAGAAGTTATTAATACCAGATGTTCATTTCTTAGAATCCCTTCATCCCAAATAATGCCTAAACTCCGCAGATTAAAGAGCCCATTAAAAGACAACCATGCCTCCTATGTTTTATGCAACAGCTTTCTCTTCCACCCGCATGTACAAGTAGCACACTGGCGCACAAGACATATGGAAACCATCTATTTAAACTGTGATAGATTTCCGTCCCCTTTGAAAAGCACAAGGAAAACGTATTCGGAACAAAATCTATCGTTGCCCATTCATTTTTGCTCGGGGTCCAACGTCTTATAAATAGAACATCACTCCAAAAAGGAGATGTCAGCCCAAGCTTCAAAGATGATGAGAAACCATTTGAATTTACATTTCATCGAATTACTTGTACCGTGTTCTTTTTTTTTTCTTTTTGCTCCTTGCAGACAGATTGGAAATATTCTTCTTTGCGCTAATAGCCTCTTGGGTGCCCCAGACGATGTGCGAAATGGGTCAAAAGGAAAGGGGGTGAGAGATCAGAGAGTGTCCTCAACCTTTCCAGAGGACCAGGAAAAAGGCGACTGTGTCAATATTCTGTTTGCTAAGCCTCTCATCCTTCTCTCATCAGGGTGTTCTCTTTCTGATTTGCTCCATGCAATTTGGCAAAAATAAATAAACGACTGTCTCACTTGTGTGTACAATCCTCCTGTTCAAGGCATGTCTGCACAAGTATTCAGAATAACAGAATGACAGAGACGGAAGGGACCCTGGAGGTCTTCTAGTCAACCCCCCTGCCCAGGCAGGAAACCTTATAC